AGTAGTACTCTAGTTCTTTATCATGAAAGTGACCGCCTTCATAACTTATTGAATTTGAGGTAGCAATGATATTGACCACTTGAGTTCACTTCCTGTGTAAGAACTATGTTGTAAATGTTGAAAGGTATAGTTTTTTCATATTAGGCTTTGCTATTTTCTTAGAATCGTTTGTTAAAAAAGTAAGTCACTGTTAATAATAATATCTTCCCCGTTCAGTGGCTTTGCATAGTGTTTCTTTTGGTGAGAGTAATTAGTTTTTATCTTTAGTTGATTTTTTTTTTTTTTGGTGACATCCTTAGTAGATATTGGAAGAGCCAAGGCTACAATCAGTGATCTATGAATCTGGTAGGTTATTTTGCTAATAAACATGATTGTCATTATACTTATTTCCAAGAATTTATTCTGTAATTTCTTGCCTCTTGTCTAGAAAGCCTAATTGTTTGCAAATTTTGTATTAAAATCTTCATTTAGCTTATATAGATATCCTTTTCTCCTTGTCTTAGGGATTTCTTTCAACCGAAAGGGGCGAGCAAGCATTATCATCTATCGATTCATGTGAGAAATCTTTGATTGAGGTATGTTTCTTCTCCGCATTAGCTATTTGGTCTTGTGCTACTTTTTATGTGTTGATATTTTTCTCAGATAATTAATATAGCGGAGAATTAACCCCATGGGCAGGATAAAATATTGCACCCGTAAAACTTTTTGAGTACATAGGATCTGGTTTTTTCAGTAACTTACTTGTGCACATTTGATTTCGAGATTCATTTTCTAATATTTAGGGTTATATAAATGATCAGTGATTCTGACTGGATTTCCCCGTTCTTGTTACGGTATCCTAAGTTAAATGCCCTCCTTTCTCAAAATATAGGTACATGCCATTGTTGGATGACAAGCTTAAGACACAAGTAAAGCTCAATCGTAACTGTCTCAACATAGTCAGTGCTTTACATGTTTTACTTCAAAATTTATGATCCTCNGGGATGGTTTCNTTAGGAATCAGAACAAACTGTGATTTGTCTTTCATCGAAGGAGCAAGTTGTGTTCTCCTGTTTAAGTTGAGTATTTGTCTTGCCTAATCCTCAGATTGGTCATATAACCCACTTATTCCTTGCAAATTAAGGAAACGTACAATGTGTACTATAAACATGTCTTTTATCTTCGGACTAAATACGTGTAAGTAGGCAGTTTCCATGTTTTACCATTAGTGCTAATAGTTTGATTTTTTGGGACAGTAACGCCCTTGTATCTGCTTGAATATGTGTATGATGAGTCCTTGTGTCTGTCTAGAGGGAATGTAGGAGGGAAAGAATGCATATATTACAATGGCATGCAGCTGTCCATACTCAATACTACTAGACCATCACTGTCAGAGAAACGAGCTCAAAGGCACCATATTGCATCGTGTGTGGTGGAGGCATGAACTGAAGAAAAATGGCTATGGTATGTTTTCTGATCAAGAGTATTACAACGGTATTTGAGTTTCTTTTTTTTTTCACATATCAATATCTCAAGCTTTTGTAGTGACCTTACGTGAAATATATTGTTCGAGTGCTTACATTTGCAGGTGTTGGAAAACATATTATATCAACTAAGCAGCTTTCATGCTCGACTTGTAAGCCCAAGGATAATGATTTCGTATAGAGTTCAATTGTTGATTTAAATTTGCTTTAGAGGATTTTATGTCAAACAACTTCACCAAATTTTGTTGTGTTTATGGGTTCTCATTTTACTTTAAGGTTCTTCTCTTGGAGGACATAGTCACTGCTCTACATGCTCCCAATCCTAAGCGACCTTGCCATGTCCATTCGGTTACCACTTCCAGCAAAAACACTAGCTCCCTCTCTAATGCTCCCGGTTTTAACCAGAGTGACGTTCATTCGACTATCTCTTCTTTTCTCTCACTGCCGGTCTTGCCTTTGTTCTCCTCGTCGCTCCCATTGGCTGCTCCTTTGATCGAGTGCTTGATAGTTATCCCCAGAGCTACCGAAACTTCTGGTGATGAATTCGATCAGGATCACTTCCTAAATTGTACTCTCCAACTCGCATCCCTTCTTTACAAGTCAACCATACGGTGCATTAGGAAGTGTACCACCCTCCATAATTCCATATCATGGCCTCTCCTCCCTGAACTAACCACTAAGGTAATAATTCCAGAATTCTGATATCATGTATTTGTTTGTAGAGTTTTTCCCCTGTTTCTTTACCTGCTTTATTGAATTGTATACAATGTTTTAGGGCTCTGTTCTCGCACCTGATCACATCGTCAAAGTAACAAATTGAGAATGCTCAAATAATACTTTGCTCATGAAAGTCTGTTCTCTGACTTGATGTCTATATAATGTGTTTCTAATGCACATTCTGGTCTTTTCAATGCTTGATGCAAAGTCTCTAATGCAAGCTTTTGCATGCTGCACGATCTTCAACACGTGTGCCATGGACCGTGTATGCTACTCCCACCGATTTGACAATTTCTATCCATCAAGCCTGGATCTTTGTTTACAAGATCTTGTCTTTCCCCATTATCTTTTAGTCATGGTTTTGCTGGGTATTGGCTTGATTACCAATTAATTCAAAGTGATAATTAACGATTCTCCATTTCATGGTTGCTTCCCCTTACTTTGCCTNGAGGNGTCANCTTCTATGCTTGATTTCTTTTGTTTGTTACTTCAATGTCTGCTCACTTTAAATTCTGCTGATTCCTTATGGTTGATTCTCTTACTTTTTGTATCATTTAGTGATTCAGGTAATACGACTAATCCACTAGAGAAGTTAGGGTTAATGATGAGAAATTGTCGCTTGATC